GACTAGATATCAAATAAACTCCCAATTAACTTATAGTGCAGCCTAGCCCTAATTGGTCAGTGTCAATGAAATAGTGCAATATCAAGGACAACCAAACTTGGATATACAACCATGTTTATACCTAAGGTTCCTTTTTGGTACTCACCAACAAGGATCAACCGTAATTATTTTCAGTCAGAAAGTGTCCTGAGTTTCCAGAAAATTGTAACTTATTACATTTTAAAAATTGAGGGTAAATTAAACGTTTCGGTTCTGGTTTTGGAGCGAGTCCAAGTTCTTGCAGTGACTAATACTTCAAAGGAAGGAAGGTGGGAAGATTTTCATACTACTAATAGCCTTCTTTGAATTCAGCGTGAAAAATACTGGGTAATTTCTATAGTTTCGGCCATTTAGGGGAACCAAACAAATTTTTAAAAACTCTTCTATCTCATCATTTCAGTAAACTATGATATTATTATTTGAATAGAAGTTAAATGTCAAGAAAAAAATACCGCAAATTATTATTTTTGGGATAGCATTACATTGACCAAGGAATACTCTCAAAGTGTAAAGTTTCCCGAACAAAGCTCGGTCCCCAGCTACTTGTCAAACAACGCAATAATGTACGTTATTTCATAAAATTTGTACCTGAGAAATGTACAAATGGAAAATGCATTTCTCGTAAGTGTAAGCAAATCTTAAAATGATAGGATTTGTAATGATACGATCTTAAAACGAGCAATTCAGTATTCTTATTCAAAACACCAAACACCCGCCACTGGATCAAAATATGCCCGCACAGCGCAATCCGGCACGGTGGGAAGCCCCTCTCGTACAATTTAAATTACGTACATAAGCCAAAAATAAAAAAAATATGATTTAGAACATTTCACTTTTTGTATACAGAATCCACTGTTTTTAAACTAACCTGACCAAAAAATAAAATAAAGTAGTAGCCGACAAAAAAAGTTCCGTGGAAATTTGCCATGTCACGTTTCATAAAACATTAAAAATAATCGACTTTATTTGAATATTTAAAATGAAAAGTACCGGGGGACCGAGCCGTGGCTCAGTATGTATATTTCGATTGTAAAAGCAATATAAAGGAAACTCGTGTTTTCTTTATAACTAATTTCGGCTTTTATTGTTTAAGTTTCAGTGGAATTTTAATTTACTATGATGTAACTTTAAATGGACAATGCAACACATTAATTTATTATAATCTTACACATTTCTGTTATTGTAAATAAATCATAGAAATCTAAAAAAAATAAAAGTAGTATTTTTTTTAAATACGTTCCTAATGAATGAATTAATATGCGATCACAGGTTAATACAGTAGCAATCAACTACACAGCATTAAAACAGCACAGTGTATGTAAGGGGTGTGATTTATTTCTTGGTACTAAATTAAGTCATTCTTCAAGTATAAGTAAAACTTCAGCATGGGCATACTCTCTAACGTACTATCATATGATGGATTAGCTGAAGGCAGATAAGTCCGATTCAAGCTTATATTGCTTACTATAAAGATTGTTGTAATACAATTAACTTTAACTAGTGGTCGAAAACTAGACCAAAAATATGTAATGTACAGGTTTCAAATGATTTAGGCCTAAAACTTTTTTCCCCGTGTGAGTAACTAAGGACTTCTGGATAATTTAAATATGATATTTATATGTTTCTTACTCAGGAACAATGCCGTTCCGGGACACTATATAAATGGACGTTAACGTGATTATAAATTTGCATTTTACATAGTCAAAATACAATAGGTATTGCGCAACCGTGATATGTTAAGTCATTAACCTTGGTTTACTAATAAAAACTACACCGTATGCTTACTCAAACAAAACAAAACTTGCTTACTGTACAGCAATAAATCACGTAAAGAACAAAACAAAATGAAAATGTAGACTAGAAGACTACTGATACCGTAGTCATCCTAGGCTACTACTACATGATGTTTCAGAACAGAAGTACTGTATGGGGATAAAAATATTAAATAACTCATAAAACACCATAAAATCATAGTACTGTACTTAAGTCTTTCTGGTAATAATAACAATGATAAAAGTAAGATAAAGATAAAAATGATGTAAAACACCTCTTATTATTTCTCTTTGTTCTATTCTTTCTTTGGTTTCTCTACATCCACAAGTTGTCATGGTTACTAATCACCCAACGACCCAACCACAAAATATTGTAGTGTTGTGATAGCAGACAGAAGCAGACGATTGTCAGTGTCAGTGCAAGATTGTCAGTCTGTAGGTGCGAGCGTATAGGTTGACCTTGACGATACTGATCGATATTTCTCCGTTTTGCTTCCATCTTATTTTTGTTAAATGAACTGTAATATTTCAATAATTGGGAACCTACTGCACATAAAAATTACCGTAAATAGTTAAATATATCGTTCATATCGAAATATTAGACTGAAAAATACAGTTAATAAAACATTTTCTTGGGATTTGTGAGGTTATATAATATATAGGCATCATGATGATGCGACTCCAGTTAAGCGAGGTTCTACTGTATTTGCAAGTTAAAGTTACAAATAGAAAACCCATTATGGTTTGTATTCAATGACCGATGTATTATACAAAATAAATTATAACTTATTTTGATATTAATCAGCAGCATTTATTACAGCTTGCAGCACTTATTGGTATATATAAATATCCCAGTTACTATTAGTAAAAAAAAAAAAATTAAACACAAAATTGTGTGGCCATTTAATTTTTATAAACACAGTGTTAAACATTTGACTCTGCAGAATACCGGATGGTAAAGAGTGTTTGGTTTCAAGAAAATAAAATAAAAAATAGTTTAACCTGCTTTACTATTTATTTTGAAAAATAATAGATAGGAAACCATAAGGATAGGTATGGGATTGAACTGAAATAATTGCAGGAAAACTTAAATCGTAAAGTCCACAATCAGTACATTGTTAGAGAGCGAGAGAGAGAGAGAGAGAGAGAGAGAGAGAGATTTGATAAGGAATCTGAAAAGTAAACAAATAATCGTTTCTGGCATTCGTTATATTGTACCCCCCTCCCCCCCCCCCCGTATTTGCACTCGTGACAACTTTTTGTTGCTTCCTTATCATTCATCCGTCCCAAAATATAATTCCTGTAATAGTTTGTTTGTAAAATTGAAATTATTATAAAAATATTTTATCTTTCGAGTGTAGTTTCATAGTTATTCTTATCAGATAGAATAATATCGTTGTCATATGTAATAGTTACTCCTTCGCGTTACGCAATTGCGTAAAAAACAGTTCCAGTATCTCGGACAAGATTCACGTATATTTCTCGAGATAAAGAAAATCCGTATAGTCCCCGGTCCGTGGAAACACTGTAAATACTAGGATAAAAAATATTGCATAAAGGAGAAGTTGACTAAAATTTCAACTGAAGGTAAAAAAAATCAAAATAACTTAAAATATGAGATGATGAACGGGTAGGATCAAGATTCAACCAATTATAATTAATTAATATTCGACGATCCTTATTAGAGGTGCATCATATTTATTTGGAGTATGAACATGTTTAAACATTAACACGTAGTTAATCACGATCCCAACACAAATAGTAACAAGGAGTAAACGAAGGTTACAGACCGCTGGGTTTTACCGCTACAAAGTAGGGTAGGGTGCCGTACTGGCTACACTACTCAACGATAGAACACACGATGAGACAGTCTCCGCATTGGTATTGCAGTTACGCTTATCGACACAGGCAGCAGCACCGGTTTGCTGTTTTCATACGTATAAAGTGCACGGGAAGCCATACCTGACTGGCTTATGGGAGAGCTGACTGGCTTTCGGGCGGGTGACTGCCACACCGTGTAAATTACCAGCGCACTGACTGCCAAACCGGGTGGGCACAAAAGTATATATATATATATATATATATATATATATACGTCCGTGAACGCGATAACTTGAGTAATTTTTGTCCGATTTTGATGAAATTTGGTTTAAAGGTGTAAAGCGGGATAAACTTGAATGAGTTCGCGAACCAGCATGATCGGACCATGGGAACGGGGCTTTATGGGGGGTTTTATGGGGTAAAAATTGGTTATTCTCACTTTTGACCCTCAAAACACAAATTTTCCCAATTTCTCTTTAGACCTTTTTAAAGAGCTTAAAAAAACAATTAATTTAGTATATAAAAGTATTTTTGTTCGGTTAATAGTAACGGAGAAAATTAAAAAAAGTTGTAAATTTAAAATTCCCATGTTATTCTTATGGAGAATATTGTTTAATGTTGTAGTTTGCTTGTTTATGGATATATTTTGTATTTTGATCAAATTTATTTATTTTGTACTAAGCTATCAATATTTTACAAAAAAACACACTTTATTAGTTTCCTTGTAGCAGCAAACCTAGGTACTCGTTAAACCTAATGTTATTAAAATATATTTAATTGAAAATCAATTAAGACAAATGGAAATTCGCTTAGTCGGCAGGTTTGCTGCGGCGGGGGTATTTAGTTTTAGAAACAAACAAAGACACTAACATTAAATAAATAAAACACGTGACATGTTGACAGACGATTATAATAATTTCGGGAACTAGTTACACACACGACGCGGCACGGGCAGACGTTTAGTCATGACTAGAATGAACAGGATGCAGCACCTATTTTGCTTCTTCTTACAGTTAGCATAAAGGTGAACACAGGTTTATTTTTGTTGTTGTCTTTATTGCGGCTAGATGAGAATGCATTACATTTAAATACATATGCTACAAAATACAATGGCCTGAAAATAAAATTTTGAAACATGACCAGAGTTCTATTGGCTTTCTGTTTCAAGATGTGTAAGCCTTAAACGAGTAACTATTTAAACTCCAAAACTCTCATGCTTAAAAATGATATATCTTATTAAATTTAAAAATATTCACATTGCATTATTTAGTCCTAATTAATGTTTTTAAACTAAGAAGTATGCCTAAATAAAACACCTACTCAGTAAGCTACAAACTATCTTTCATTAATAAAATTGTAATTTTTTAGGTGTTAATAAACTGTAGAAACAACAAAAAGCTGCTGGCTCGTGTCAAGGCGTTTGACCGTCATTGCAACATGGTTCTGGAGAATGTTAAGGAAATGTGGACTGAACAACCTGCAACCGGAAAAGGAAAGAAAAAGGTAAATAATAATTTCTTTGCACTTTCAGGATTCCAAAACTCATTGAAATGTACATTACCGGTATACAAGGGATCGACAAAATAAAGTAGGTAGCCTACCTTAGAAATTATAATATGGATATTCTAAACTTTTTAATAATAACCAAGGACATGATTTAACTGGAATAAAAAAAAACTTATGACTGCAAGAGACAACCATAATTTCTACAAACCGTGGGAGATGCTCAAGATTTTGCCGCGATTGTGGATGACGATATTGTTTCTGTGACTACGGGAGATGTCCAGGGTTTTGTTGCGGTCGCAGAAGACTATGATGACGTTTCCATGACGGCGGGAGACGACAATAATATCTACAGGATTTTACGAGATTATATTTGACATTTTTTTCTCTATATTTAACGGTTTTTATCTGTTGACTTTCTGTGATGTTATTTTTGACTAAGTAAACATAACTAACTAATTTGATAGGCCTACTAGCAGTATTGGTTAGATTTAAGGGGTAGCGGATTTTTATCCCCCTGGAATTTTACCCCCTGGGCAAACGTGACGTCACAAACCAGGGGGTAAAATTCTGGCCGTGAACTTTTGAGTTTTGCGACATCAGCTCGATGAATTAAACGTATATTTTCACGGTTGTGAATTTAATCAGAACACATCAAATTATAAAAACCTAGAGTGTACAGCCCGGATTTTTACCCCCCGGAATTTTACCCCCTGGCCAGATATATAAATTAGTGAGAATGATTAATTATCTTCATTCTGTTTTAATTTAATAGTAAACATTTTATTATTAAGTGGCCTATCTTAATTTATGTGTAACATTAACTACCTAATCGAACAGGTTTTTAATTTTAATTTTGAGATTCTATACATTGGTCGAATACATTGTACCGGATGCCTACAACTACATTTCACAACATGTATTTCGATGACCTTTCTCATTACAAACCATAAATAGCACATGGTTTGTGCCTGAAGAAACAAGAAGGCATATCGTGTTATTGTACTTAACATAAACTAAATACATTGTTTTTCACAGTGGTACAATAAATTCGTTTAAGAAATGTCCTCCCATTATCATTTAAATGAGCTACCCGGTACTCAGTTTATCTTACATACTAACCAACAGTTCGGCCCTAACGCAAATCCCGAACATCAAAATTAAACAGCGAATTCTGTTTACTTAGTTGAGATAAAAAAAAAAAATAAAGATAGGCTACTAAATAATGAAATGTTTACAATTTAATTAAAAACATAAATAAGAAAATCAATCATTCAATTTCTAAAATCAGCCAGGGGGTAAAATTCCGGGGGGTAAAAATCCGGGGGTAAAATTCCAGGGATGAAATTCCGGGGGTAAAAATCCGGCCCGTACATCTTTAGTTGTCTAAACGCTAGTTATATGGATAGGGGGTAAAATTCCGGTTTTTATCGCTAATCTAATTAATCGCGCTCTGGCTATATTCATTAGACTTCCAAATCTGCGGGGGTAAAATTCCGGCCGCGAACAAACTTTTGGCCACTCAGGTTACTACGTCATAGTGGCGTCAGCTTTGCCCAGGGGGATAAAATTCCGGCGACCCAGATTTAAAAGCAAAGAAGAAATATCCACAGATTTTTCTTGACTATTGTAGGCCTATTTTTTTACATTGACATTAGCCTGTACATTTTATGTTTTTGGCAATAAATCTATTCTACAAACCGCGGGGGGTGTCCAGGATTTTGACGCAATCGCGATGATGATGAAGATGATATGTCCCGTGCCCGCGGGAGACTTTGCCGCTATAGTGAGAGTCAATGTTTTTGTGAAGTTAACGTAGGTGAAACTTTGGAATTAGCCTATCATAAATATACAAATGTGATATGAGAAAAAATCTTAAGCTGTAGGCCTTGAAGTGGTTATAGTTTACAGCCTAACATTCACGTGGGAACATGGAAAAACATTTAAAGTCCAGGTAAAACTTAGAATTTTACCTTAAAAAATTGTAGGCCTATCTGATCTATCTTCTCAAGTGCAGTTGGGTTCCCACCTCCTCTTTCTTCTGTATAGCCTATCTCTTTCCTGGACTTGGTATTTCACTCTTCACCCAGCAGACCAGATGGGGACCCACTGCCTCAACTTCTCCCCAGTAACAGTGGAGCGGACATGGTAGCTTGGAGTTGCACCACCAATCCGACACAGCGCCTAAATCACAACCCCAACACACCAAGCACATAAACTTCAACACTGTAAAAATCTAATTGATCTTTATCTATTCATCCATTCAGAATAAGAAAAACGTATGATGAATTTTCCGCATGGTAATATATTTTTACTTAGAAAGGCAGCAAAATTGTGCAGTGTAAACCAGGTCAAAATATTGGAGGACTCGACACGGAGAATCCACGCTCATTTTTAGATAAAAAGTTAAAATCATAAATAGTATGATTCTGGGATCAGCTACAACTAATCCCAGGATTGGATTAAGCCCCTGGATGAAACTCCTAATCAATAATTGTAGAAAATGCCCAAAAACATATTTATTTAAGGGAGTAAATCTTTCTGATAGCCTATTAATGTATTCAGCTTGTGTTTTAATTTTGTTAGGTTCTTGTGTGCATCCAACAGTTGTACATAAGTATTCAATTATTCACTCCATAGAATGAGTTCGGCCTCAACAAACCACAACAACTGCCTTCGATCTGGTCCGGGTTCCTCATCAGCTACATTCTCATGTCTGTCTTTCTCTTCATTGGTATCCAGATCTCTAAAATACAGTTTAAGCTAGGTATACAGTAGACTCCCTCTTATCCGAACTCCTCGGGACCGAGGCCAGTCGGGAAAACATTTTTTACGGTCAAACCGATGTCCCCAAAAACTCGTTAAAATGGACCATTTAGGTGCATATTAAATAGACAGTATTTTACTTAAATTTAGGAAAGCATTGTATTTAAACATGTGATCACTGGTCTCAAATCTTTCCCACGAGAAGAGTCGTTTCAGTACCATCCACTTCCTGCCGATCTAGTCCGGTAAAACCGATGCGCTGATAAAAAATTGTCCAGCTAAAGAGATGTCATTTCTGCCGAGTGTTGTCCGGTTAAAAGGTGTCTGGATAAGAAGGAGTCTAGGCCCTACTGTAGTAATATTTTAAACTAGACTGGGGTTTTCTGTATATTTAATATTATTGTCTTACCAAATTATTCTGATTTTTTCAGTCAAAGCCAGTCAACAAGGACAGATTCATCTCCAAGATGTTTCTGCGAGGAGATTCAGTCATCTTGGTTCTACGGAATCCACTCGCCACTGCAGCGGGCAAATAATTCCTCATCATCTTTAAGACTGTGTGTGATTTGTGTTCAATTAATAATGGAGAGTGTACTAGGCCTAAATGTTTTTTTTTTTGTTCCGTTAAAAAGTATTTGAATGTATAGTAGGCCTGTAAACTTTTTTACCTACCAAGTCTTTCTAGTTTTATAATTATTTTTATAAACAATAGTCTCTAGTCTATATTCATTTAATAAGGCTCATTAAAATTTTGAATGTTCTGGATGACTCAACAACCTCTGGGTCCACAAATTATTGATTTAGTGAGGTTTGACTGTACTTTAGTAAAATTCATATCAGGCCAATTCCATATTGTTTTATTATCCTAGCAAATTTTAAAATATCAAATTAAATTGTAAGGGACTAGTCGAATGGCACTGCCAGTCAACAGAAAGTGTCAAGATTTCACATCCTAAGCAGGAAGCTAGTTAAACATACAAATGGACAATCAACTTAACCTGAGGTTAAAAGAATACTGCTGATCAGAGTGGCAGCCAATCATTTGAGTGCCAATGGAGCAGTTTTGATTAGACAATGTAGGCTGGGTTAATTTGAATTGCTGGAATATTAGAAAAAGGAGTAGGACAAGGGTTAAGTAAAAAATAGTCATCCATCATGTGTTAGTTAAATCAGGTTCCTGAGTACACTGACAATAGACAAGCGAGTTAGACAAGTGCTCGATAAAATTATATTATTGTAGATTACACAACGATTGCATAAGGATAGTCTTGACGACACAAGTAGAAAATTTAAGGCACAAGCTAATTACATTACCGTTTCTCAATTACTAAAAATCAATACTCATTACCTCTCCTTGGAAGTTATGAGTAGTGGTTTATAGTAATTAAGAAACGGTATTTTCGTTTGAATAATGTATCATAGCCACTGATTGTAATGCAACGACTTATTGACCCAACCACTCCACTCATTGTTTAATCAATTAGATTGGTTTGAACAGAACAAAGTATTACAGTTTCTTTTTTTCTCTCAATCCTTGAACCTCATTGGTCTGTTACTCATGTCGAAGTAGTAAGTAAAACAACAATGCTGTTGCTGATTACTTAGCAGGGAGTTAACAATATGTTTCAAACAATAACTTTTGCTTTTGTTAACTATTCAATCACAAGTCCAAGAAAACAACACTAAAATATTTAAAAAAATATACGAGTTTGGAGACTTTCTTGATAAGGAAAATAGGGTAGGAATAGGTCAATAAAAACAGACTTGATAAGTTAAAATGTCATTTATAAGGAGAAAATATTTACTGCACATTTACACACAGAATCTATATACAGAAAATACTATGACAATTTAGACACAACTATTAACAGGTACATTCATAAAAAAAAAAAATCTATGATATTTAGCCTCAAAGGCTGGATAACCATTATCATGGTTTAAATGGCAATGCAAGGTAGCAAAAAAATAGAATATTATTTTTGAACCAACCGTTATACGGTCACTTTGCCCTTACACTTACGAATTTGTACTATACGATACATTATTCATACATTTGACAATTAATTGGGGGTTTATAGTGTAATTCAAACTTTCTTATTCTTATTCTGTGTGCTTATGATCCATGAAAAACATTTATTCGAAATGAAAACTAGATAGAAAACAAGGTATTTCATTGTATGATGGTAGGACTTTGGATATGTTAAGTTACACAACAACTTTCATTTTCTTTGCTTTTATATTGTGTCACCTTTTCTACATAACTAAGGATTATTATTTAATAAATGTTTGAAGTTTTTCAACAAAACCTCAAGTGTCAATATCAACTGAAATAACATATTCAAAATTTAAGAATCTTTAGGGACCAAAATGATAACATTACACCTTAAAACAAACATAACAGCTAGGTTTTTTCCCATAGTATAGTTTTTAAATCACGGTTTATTTTTGTCTCCAGTTTAGGGGCACATAGTATTTCATTTTTACCTTTATTTAGATAAAGCCTTACTAGAACACAGACACATTATGGTGCATAGTTTTTAGTTTGTGATCAATGATGAGTGTTGTTTAAAACAGGCTTGTAGAGGGGAGAGTTCTTAAATACAGAAAAAGTCCTCTTTGCCTTAAAGACTTAAATCTTTTTATATTTTATAAATAGAGAGTGGACCTACAGCTTGAGTTTGTCTATTGGCCGTGAACCTAATAGAGCTTAAAACCTTTCTCAGGACCAGGAACCTACATGTAGTAATCAAAACCATGTTCACAATTTGTGTTTTGACATGTGATTATCACTGAGATCGTTGTTTCAAAACAAGAGTATTACAACAGGTAAAAGTATGTAAAAATTTTTTTAAATGCAAAATTTAAAAATACAGTAGAACCTTGATAACAAGACTCTCAAGGGGATTGTAAAATAAGACTTGTTATCAAGGTTGACTTCTTATCCAGGTTTGTAATAACTGTGATTAGAGGTAAAATAATTTTAAGGGGATTTGAAAATGACACTTGTTATCAAGGGGGACTTGTTATCGAGGGTCTTCTTATCAAGGTTCCACTGTAGATGACCTAAGGATATTTGAACCAAATACTTAACACAACACTTTTAACTTTGAGAACATTTTATTCTCTACCATCTCAATGTTCAAATTTTTCGCATGTAGCATTGAAAGAGAAGGTTTAAATAAAGAAAAATATTAAAATATAAATTTCGAATTATAATAGATTGTCTACAATCTAAAATATTCCAAACATCTTTTAAATAATAGCTAGGCGTAAAAAATATACTGTTTTTTGTTTATAGGAAACCCTAAAATACTACATTGCTGTTAGCAACTGAATCCAACAGAAAAAATTAAGAAGTAATCGATTACGAATCCCTTTCATCCCTAGTATTTCATATCGTTCACAAATATTAAATAAATACTTAAATAATAAAGATTATCAGGGCTGTGCGAATAGTTCGAAAAACTAATCGAATCCGAATCTTCAGTTGTCATCCATGGATGGATCCATCTCCATCTAATCACGGCTGGAAGTAGCCGAGACAATCTCGACAACGGTCCTTTGGCAAAGAGAGAAAACAGTTCCTCAGGGTCAAGAAATGATTCTGGAAACAACAGTTCTAACAACAACGATATAAAGAAAACTATGGCCACCCAATCAAGCATCCCAGTCAGTAGTGAGGAGCACCGTAGACGCATGCAAGAATCCCGCAACATGGGAGAGGCCATGAAGTACATGCATGAGGCCAAGAAACGCAGCCAAGGAAAGATCTGTGAGAAGTTCAAGGCCGCTAGTCCATACAACTTCTTTCTTACATCCATCACGGATTCAAAGAAAACACATACTGAGCCCCTGTCACTGTTGATGCACGACATTTTAGACCCATCCCTGGGAGACTTGGAGTCCTCACTCCAAATCAACTTCATGGTAGAGTTTGGATGGCTGGTGGCCCAATATCACATTGCAGGGCAGAGGGGGAAACCATTAACATTGTTGTATGGTCAAATGGATGTTGCAAACCTTTCCCAATGTTTTCCCAATGTTACAGCAGTTGAAATTAAATGTATATCACCATTCGGCAGTCACCATACTAAGATGTGTGTGCTGGCGTATCGGGACAGCAGTGTGAGAGTCTGCGTACACACAGCCAACCTCGTAGAGTCAGACTGGGACAACAGAGTACAAGGATTGTGGTTGTCTCCTCTGTGTCCTGCGTTGTCTCTAGACGCTGACTCTGCGGCAGGGGAGTCTCCCACAAACTTCAAGCAGGACTTGATGCAGTACCTGTCTGCGTACCGCCGCCCGGAACTGCAACCCTGGCTCGGGAAATTGCGTCGGGCCGACTTTTCAAACATAAATGTGTTCTTTGTGGCGTCAACCCCCGGCTCACACAAGGGCGTGGACAGAGACAAGTGGGGATTGCCCAAGTTAGCAGGGCTGCTTTGCACACACGCACGTATCGTGCCTCGTAGTGACGCCTCGCCACGCACCTGGCAGATCATTGTGCAATGCTCCTCCATCGGCAGTCTCGGACCGCAGCCCACGTCTTGGTTCTGTGGTGAAGTCAAATCAGCGATGAGCAACGGGGTGGGGATGGGAGTACAGGCGCCACCTCCCATCAGACTGGTTTATCCCAGTTTCGACAACGTAGCTGCTAGTCACGATGGACTGTTGGGAGGAGGAGGTCTACCATACTCTCGGAGAACTCACGAGAAACAAGAGTGGCTGAAGCAATACCTTTACCAATGGAAGTGTGACAGCAGACATCGTACAAAGGCAATGCCCCACATCAAGACCTACACTCGTATATCCCCAGACTTGTCAGAACTCGCCTGGTTTCACCTGACATCTGCCAATCTGTCCAAGGCTGCGTGGGGCTCCACCACTAAGGCGGGTGCTACCATCATTCTGTCCTATGAGGCGGGAGTACTATTTATTCCAAAGTTTGTGACAGGAACACTCAGTTTTCCAGTCAACCAGATAACCGGTGGCGCTCAGGAATTTCCGATGCCTTACGATGTTCCACTGACTCCTTACACTTCAAGTGACGTGCCTTGGTTCATGGACAACCTGACATAGTGCACTAACATCTTGAGCTTTGTCTATTTTGCATATACATTAAATTAATTTGTTATGAGTAATATTTCATTTCATCTTTTTAGAGATTCGATTCGGATTCGAGAACGAATCTACTGTTTCTAACTGGATTCGGATTCGGAATCGATATTCGAATTTACTGGTAAGAGATCCGGGTTCGGATTCGATATTCGAATTTCTTGGAAATAGATCCGAGTTGGGATTCGATATTCAAATTTACTAGATTCTGATTGAATATAATTTTCAATATAATTTTTTAGACACTAAAAAACTACTTGTGCACTCCGATTTGCTGTTGACTGGTTCATGTTAGGAACCTGACCAACTTGGTGTTAGGTTTTAGGAACATTAGTGTAGGTCGCATTTGAACCCTATCTTGGCTACCAGTAAACTTAACCTCACAGTGTTAGTTGTTACTTGTAATGCAGACATAGGCTTGTGTGGAGGATTAACACCAAGGTGTATAATAGGCTGGGCCTATGTTTTAGACTACACAAATTGGTAGTCCATCACTTTTAGCAGGCCTAGGTGGTATGCCTAACTTATGCCCAATTTTTTAGTTTCAAAACTTCAAATAGGTAGGCCTAAGTTTTATAACTTTTTTATTTGGCCCATTTCAAGAATTTTTTTAAGCAATTCCCTAAGTTATTTCAGCCCCAGAAAATGTGGTCTAAAAATGTGAAAATTGGTACTGCTGACTTTCCTCGGATTTGGATTCGACTCTGAACAGGTTTAAATATTCGGATTCGATAACAGCTTTAAATTTCAGATTCGGATTCGATCCAGGTTCGATAATGGCTGTAAATTTGAGATTCGAATTCGACCCAGATTCGACTCGGGATTAATTAAAATATTCGGATTCGATCCGGATTCGATAAAATCTGTACAGCTATGATTCGGATTTGGATTCGAACCAAAATTTCTGGATTCGCACAGCCCTGAAGATTATCAAAACAAAATTAACAAGTAAAACTTCAACCAATTTTGTTCATCACATAGTGATAATTTAATACTAATATACAGCTCTCAATACCACTTTTTTCCACTGCTCTTTGTTCCTATGGACTAGCAGGAGGGCATGGTATGGCTGAAAACAACAAAACACAATGTACAAAACAGTAAATTAACAGAAAAACATAACATCAATAAACAGCATTACATAATCAACTATCAACCCTGGTTCATGTTACGCTTGTATTTTATTATAATTGAACTAAGCTACTATAAGCTCTAAATCTGGAGTATTGCTTACAACAACATATTAATGACAGTCGTAAAAATCTTGAATTACGTGTGCAGAGCTTAGAAATACACTTTCAAAGGATTTTAGCTACCCGTCAAAAGGATTTCAATTGCATGTTGAATTACACGAACATAAGAATTGAATCACACAAAGGACTTGAATTGAAGGGACATAGGGTTTTATTTACAAGTACACTAGATTTGAACTAGTACACATAAAAACATCGAATTAATTTAGACTAGTTATCATATTATTAACATAGTAGCTGTGCGCCCGTTCTACGCACGGGGATCTTATAGTAGTCAGTTGAATGTAACAAAAATCACACAATGTTGGGTTTTTGGACATTTGTAATTTTATTTCTTAAGTAGGTAGGCCATGTATTCTATGGAAAAGTACCGGTATCAAGGATTGTCGTCGAAAAGGTTGTTACAGTATGAACAATTGGGTAGGCATACGTACCCAAGAGATGGACTAGGGGCCTATTGGCTGTATGGTCCAGCGATTGCAGCACACGGTGAGTAGACACAGAAAGTGACACATATTGGAAAAGCGAGTTTAGCATCATCCGTAAACCTTTGTTACAATCACCCACTGCAGTCGTGATTTTTACTTTACACTTTACACAATCGCAATTACACAATCGCCGTCAATGAGTGGAGACCTTGTTTGTAAGCTATTGGCGACGATCATTAAGTGTCCCAGCCCTATACAACACTGATTCAAGGTCTTTTTTCTGGTTATCAAAACTCAAGAACAATTTTATACACAAACAATTTCTGGTTCCTGACCTGGATGATGCCTAGTTATTTAATTTCATTTACGGTTACACTATAATATTGCACTTGTGATTAATTAAATCTGTTATGTAAGAGAAACGTTTAAGAAAAACGTGTGGTTGGGGTTTGCTTTCAAAACGTGATCGGAAATGGTTGCGGTATTTGTAAACAAAATTTGTAGGTCTAAACATATCAGTGACAGCTAGAAAAAATAATCTTGATCCGAACAGCTGTTCATTATTTCATAGATGATTATGTGATAAAAATTGTAAGAAAACTTTACAAAAATCGTACGAAACTGCATTTTTGAACGTCCGTAATTTTATTTACAAAGTAGTGAGGCCATATTTTAATTGCTTAAGACACTCTCAGCAATCCAATGAATACATTAAAACGACTTGGATCTTGATAGGTACTCTCGTTTTCATGGAGAATATTGTGTAAAATGCCATCTTGAGTGTTACAGACAGACAGACAAACAGACATAAATAGGAGATAAGACTTGTTTCTGCTTCTTTAATGTATAACGTAAAAATAACCTAAAAATATATAATTCTGAGCAATGTACAGACAAAACTCTAATTTTAAAACGTTTTTATTAGCTCGCTTTCTTGTCCGGAACAAATTTTGAAATCAATTTTATACTAACTTCCCGACGAGCTAGAGACTTGAAACTTGAAACATAGCTGACAAATGGAAGACAATGCAATATTATATAATTTAATTTTCATATTTCCCTTGGGCTACGCCCCATAGGCTTGTTTTTATTAAATCGCTTTCTTGCAAATTCTGATACTTCCCGATGAGCTAGACACTTGAAATTTGAAACATAGCTCATAAATGGATGACAATGCAACATTATATCATTTAATTTTCATATTTCCCTTGGACTACGCCACATGGGCTTGTTTTTATTAGCTCGCTTTCCTACAAATTTTGATTGAATTTTAAACGAAGTTCCCGATGAGCTAGAGACTTGAAACTTAAAACATAGCTCACAAATGGATGACAATGCAATATTATATCATTTAATTTTCATATTTCCCTTGGGCTACGCCCCTTTGGCTTCCAAATTTTCCATGTTTACATTTTAAAAGAATGTTAACATATATAAATTAATCTAAGTCAGCTGTAAATACTTAAATTTGACAGTTAGAAGAGCAGTGGTTACGAGGTACAGGTTCTGCTCCCGAGATATTCTAAAAATATAAAACAATCATTTCAAAGTATAGATAAAACATCTGATTACAGATAATAAGGTTTTGAGTTTTGGTTAAGTATTAAGAGGCTATATAAAATAGATTTAACATATTTACACATTAAAGACTAAAACTAGATAATAATTTATAAATACAAATACTTTTTAAAAATGCCACGTTTTTAAACGCACTAAAAAGTATAAAATAATTTATAAAATGTTGAGAGAATGAATACTTGTAAGATTTAAAACGAAAAACGTGGGGCGCATGCAATAGATCATAATAGTTCAATAGGTGAAGTTAATTGTAAATCAGCATGCACCCCACGTTTTTCGTTTTATAACTAAAATAACCTAAAAATATATGATTCTGAGCAATGTACAGACAAAACTCTAATTTTATTTATATAGATAGATAAGAAGTGATATAATACTTACTTTAACCTGTGCTCGCTCTCCTTTGCCGTTGTGAACTGGTTGCGTATGAGGAAGGCAGCCACTACATTGGCAACATCTACAGGCAAGTCCTCATGGACAGCATGGCCACAGCGGTTGTGAGCGCTGTCGAACGTGTGCATCTCAAATTTGCCTGAAACACAGCTCCAGTGTTAACTATTATTATTACCTATTGAGATGGGGACGCCACCTCGATGCGTGTTTTAATTCAAAATGAGTGGGAATGAGAAGATATGTGTAGCTTTGTTATTGACTAAGATTCTGAACTTAGGCCTGCTATGATTTTGCATAAAGGTAAGACATTTTATCCAGAATTTTGTTTAGTTACTAAATCCTACTATTAACAAGTGTCCATTATTAAGTCTTCTTTTCAATATATTTTGCAAAGACAAAAGTACTAGAACCGCAAGGACTATTTTATTTCTTCGGTTTCCAGGCATTCCAAAAGTGTATAGGACCTAAAATGGTGATGAACAAGACAAATTTCATTGTTCACTTTTTGCTACTGCGGCAAACTTTGGAATGTTAAAAAGAACTTAGAAAATATTAGGGGTCTGCGGGTCAGACTTTTTTGGTTCGGGTCGGGTCGGGCCAATAATTTTGGTCCTCGGGTTTCGGGCCAAAATCGGGTCGGGCCAAAAATTATTAATTACCGGATTTTTTTTTTTTTTAAACTCCTATCTGTGTTTATAATATTACTTGAAAATAACATATGGAAAAACATTGTATTTATGTATATTATTTCATGTTCATAACTTATTTACAGCTTAGGAGTTGCCTCAACTGCAAGAAAGAAGAAAATAATTTTTTTTATCAAGCCATTCTTTCCCATTTTCATAACTGTTGAAATATCTAAACAGCTATATTACAACAAGTTTGTAATGGAACTTAATATAAATGGATCATAAACAAATCAATTAACCTTATCACAAGTTTAGGGCCTGTGGCTTCAAGACTGCAAGCAAGAAGAAAATAAAAATTCTATGTTTCCACCATGCAATATGAATCATTCATTCCCTGCCTCCTAACCTCCTCTCACACTTACAATAGCATTATTAGTTACATCATCATAAATAAAGAATTATCTATTATTGGCATTAGTATGCCTACAGCTTTACATAGGAATTATTTTTTATAGGGCCTAAAATAGTAATAGACTAAGCAACATGACAAGTGGAGAACTCATTGAAGAAAAGATATTGTGTAAACTAATTTACTATAAAACTCTAAAACAATAAATAACACACATACATTGTTTATGGTATAGTTATAGTAAAGACTGTAAAAATTGCATATCATTTCATACACAGTTATAGGCACAGTTATAGGTATTGCAAGAGATTAAAATCCTAAAACAACTGATTTTAGCTAATAAATGAAAAGAATTAAAAATCCATAAACTCAAGTCAAACAATATCACAATTATTAGGTACCCGAAAAGGAACTCTTAATATATAGAAAATTATATTAAATCAAGAGAAAAGAAAGTTAAATGCTAATTTGGCAACATAAGCAGACAGCAGAGACATTATAGTGCCCTAATTAGCAACACAACTCAATGTTTTTATACTGTAAGTCAATGTTTTTGAAACTGTAGGGTCTTTTTCTCGGAAGGAAGGGTAGTAGAATGTAAACAAAAAACCATGAATCACTCTCACAGCCGGGCCCGGGGACACTCAAGGTTACAGACCCTCCCCCTCCCCTCCCCTCCCATCTTACACAACCCGAGCCAGGCCCGGGGACACTCAAGGTCATAGACCTTCCCCCTCCCCCACCACTATTATGCCACCCGGTTGTTCCAATTGCTGACAAAATACAAGTAACAAAACAAGGAAGTAGAGACAAAAAGATATATTTTCTTTATTCAAAAATATAAAACTGTTACAGATAATTTCCAAAGAAATTAATTCATGGTAGTTTGTGTCTTGAAAATATTGTATTGGATCTTAGAAATATCTTTTTTGAAACTCAATCTAACTTAAGAAAAAAATAATTTTACTGATGAAAACTTTCATAAAATTATAAAATATTTAGGCCTAACCTCTTTGTAGACTTGTTGATACTTGATACTTAAAAAAAAAAAATTAAATGGTGACCATAAAATGCCGAACCAGACGATCAGAAGTGTTGTTTTGTTTTGTTACTGAATGACAAAAAGGACAATAGGAAAATAAAAGAACAAGATACAGATCTGTACACTATATCAGATATTTCTTTTGTTTATAATTTATTATATAAATAAAATACTAAAATATAATTTAAACTAGGTATGGAATAAACAATAAATAATTAAACTGGTACCTCTGGATAAATAGTCTTTCTTTTGACTTCGTTTTCTTTGCACTGTTGCGTCACGGCTTTTGTTTTGTCAGTAGACGACTGGCTCTGGCTAGTGACAGTAAGGCAATAATTGCTCTGTTGTGTCTTTGTTCTTAAACGTGAGCAAACTTAATATTTAATTCTAATTTTAACATTTTAATTCCTCTGTAATAATGTATATAAGAGTGTTTCTTTGAAAATTACTTATTATAACTTTAAAAATAGCCTAATAATTATTTTTTTTGGCCCGACCCGATCTTGGCCCAAACAAATCTCTGACCCGACCCGGTCTCTCGGGCCTTCCGCTGGCCCGACCCGACCCGAAAAAATCGGGGACCCGCAGACCCCTAGAAAATATTGAGGTCAGTAGGCTAGACTTTTACTTTAAATCTAATGTAGAAATCATTTTCGTCAGCGCGGTTGTTTAGACATCATAATCGTCTTCCGGGGTCATGTAGACATCATCATGGTCTTCCACGATTGCGGCAAATTTCTTATAATATCCCGCGATCTAGTAGACATCTCAATCGTACCGCAGTAGAAATGGTATTGCCGTCTTGCGCGCAATAGGAAAATTATCAGGATTGCGCGATCTTTGCAGTCAAGTCGGGTAACGGTAACGAAATAGACTTTTGACAGTCGATTCTTGATACAGATACCAAAGTCCAAGTATCGGTGGTATCGAGAATCGACACAATCCTAATTGAAATATTACAATCAGTTTATATAATATTGTCAATATTGTCACAATCTTTCACATATTTCGGTTAAATTGTGAACATCTTCCACGGTCACGGCAAAAATGTGAGTTTTCTGTGGTCATGGTGTAACGTGCCGTTTTTCCCGCTCGGAATATATGCGCTATTCCGTAGTTAAAGCGGGAAAGACGTCACCAACTCTCGCCAGCGGATCGCTCAAGTCGGCGTGCTGGGAAGTTTCCAGGGTTCAGATAAAAATAATGTATTTAATTAACTCAACAACCTAGCACAGGTACAGATTTGGATTTACGCAAAAATGTAGTGTGAATCAGGTGTGAACTCAGTACCGGTAACCAACAACGCTACTGTACCATCATCATCGTTCACACCTGGGAACAGCTAATTAAATTAAATTTAAAAACAATGAAAAACCATTCAACGAAATTTTGTAACAACTTAATGTTGCAGTTTCGTCAACCTCAACACTTAGAATATTATTACTAGCTAAATAGTGAATATACTTAGCGTGCTCCACCCGACCTCGTGTTTGAACGACCTGCAGAGACGGGTTCATTTTTGCCCGCTTTGCCGCAGCAGGTCAACACCTACTGAATATCCCGGCAAAATATCCGCTATAACCCCGTCACCCTCAATATATATTGTAAACACAATATTAAACGAAATTTGTATCCCTAAAACTCTTTATTGCCACCCACGGGAGCCCTAGCATACGCTAAAGCGGACTTATACAAGTTCTAACACCCGACAAAGATCCTACCGTGAGTTTTACGTCTAAAATAATAAAATGAGGGTTTATCGCTAAATAATAAAAAATAATAGTACACACTATTAAGATAAAGCCGGCGAATTACCTGTATACTCCAGGGATCTTCACTGACACACTAAAGCACACGTTTAGCAAAATCACTAAAGTAATGACTCTAACGTCTTAACTCTCGTAATCGCAGGATTAGAATGTCGTCGCATCCCTAGCCCACAAGGGATCTCCACTACTTCCCCCTCCCTAATCCTCTAGGGATGGGGAATCAGCTGATTCACTTCCCAGCTGATCGGTGACGTCACAAGTTCAAACTTGGCGCTGTCACAACACAACGCCAAGACAGCCGACTAGTAGTACAGGTTATGTTGTTAATGTTGTTATGCACCTGCGCCGACTGTGAAATTATACGCAGAACTTTAATATCATTGCTGGTTTAAACAAAAAGTATAATTTCCACCCGTGACGTGTAGCTTAGGGTCCGACAAAGTGTATTCATGTTATGTACGTGATATTGTATTCGTGATCGCGGTTCACCACCCTAGCCTAAACAACAACTTTGACCGTACTTCCCAAAGGTGTATATTAGGTATGGGGGGTTACCCGGAAACGGTTTATCACTCGTTTTGTACACAACGATGCTATACTGTGACTTGTGAATCTCAACAATAGTGTCTTTAGTGATTTGCCAAAAGTGAGGTTATCCCTACTTCAACCCTAGGATAGGCCTAAAACAGCCTATTTACCTTACCATGATAGGTTTACCACTATCACCAACCAGGTAAGGAATAGGCCTACTGATAATTAAATAATAAATACAAAAACTTAACCCCTCTATAATTTTGACCCATTACAATGGTAAAATCAAAATCATCTACTGTGGACAGGGCAAAATTGTAAACAACATCTGCAGACACCGAGCATTACTGTGGACATCTTCTACGGTCTTGGGAAAATCGAGAACATTTTCTGCAATCACAGCAACATCATCATGGTCAAAACCGGCCATGTTAGCAGACGTTTTCTGCGATCAAAGAGTGAAAGCTCAGCTCAGCTCAATCAGGTCCGCGATTGGTTAAAACATTTTTTAGCTAGAACTGACCCAAGGCCACACTAAAAAAACAGGCCGTAATGCTCGTCTAGCATGACGTCACGACAGAAGACGGCAATGACGTATTTTTGCCGTTTGTGATCAGCTGCTTGTTTTAATCTTTTCATGGAAAACAAAAATATAACCTCAATTACGTCATTGCCGTCTTCTATCGTGATGATCATGATTGACGAGCATTACGGCCTGTTTTTTTTAGTGTGGCCTTGACTGACCTCTCAGGCTAACTGTTGTCCCAACTAGACCCGAAATTACTCGGGCCCTGCAGACCCCTAGTAGTATTACCTTGCATTTGACCAATTGTGAGGTCTGTATCCAAGCGGTCCAGGCTAGCCAGCAGCAGGAGCCTTGTAGCTCTAGCTGTGAGGAACTTCTGAGACAATCCCTGGAACCAGCCAGACCAGTATTGCTCAGTGGCCTTCAGGTCTATTCTCCATGTGTACTGGCCTCGTCCTATGCCCTATATCAACACAATAGATGACAATCAACACTGTCTAGCAGCAGAAACCCACTAGCTGTAGTTTTTAGGTCATAAGTGAGGTTTCACAATACAATTTCAAGTTAATGGTTGGTTGAACTTTCAGTTAACAAATCTACACAGATAACATTGCAACCAATAGAAACTTACTAATAATTAGAAGAGGAACGATCTTGCTTTGAGGTTAAGTTTGTGTTAAGTTATGCATTGAAAAACTGATAAATTTATATATAAAAATCAAGATCTGCATTCTACATTTATGGACCCATGCCTATCAATAACGTTAAGGCAGAATGTCACCGTGCACATAAAATAAAGTAACACTTTTTTTTGCTGTGGATAAATGTGTAGACAACAAAAACAAAAACAACGGTACGTGCACCTAAAGTGCAAGTAGGCCTAAATTTATATTCGACATAAATAGGTCATGATCAGTTCTCACCGGTAGTTTGAACGTAGCTTCCTCATCCTCTCTGATAGCATCATCTTCCAGTGCAACCTCCTCGTCACAAGAGCCCCCGCCATTACCTCCACCCAATGTATTGTAGTTGTCCAGCTCTGCTGTGGCCGTCCGACCAGATCCGACATTCTTCAGTTGCCCCGCCATAGACACCTTGGCTGACTCCACGTTGCGTAGTTGGCCGTTCTGTAAACTGATTGTTGATTGTAAACAAAGCTCAGAGTCATACTAACAAAAAATGTTCTATTTTACAAAATTGTTTAGGGGTGTGCGATGCATTTAAAATGCATCAAAATTTCGATTCGATTCGATGCATCTAATCGCGATTCGATTCAGCAAGCATCGAAATCACGATGCATCGATTTGGCCTCGATGCATCGAAAAAGACCGATGCAGCGGTTAACTCCCGATGCAACGATTACGTCCCGATGCATATTTAAAACTAATTTAGGACTCCAAAATGAGTTTTAGATAGGGAAGTGTCAATTATCGCTACCACCGATACTCGGACATTGCCGATACTAGGAATATCGGTATCAAGAATCGATTGCCAAACATCGATTTCGCCGATACCGACAGCCGACAGGGATGGATAGATATTTTATTTAACATTTATTTATTTGATATCTATTGGTTTAGTAATCACGCTAACAACTTTAGTAACCAACTTAGTACACTATTTAGTTCAAAACAGCTAAAGGTTATTTTCAGCTGTTCTCTCTGCAGGCAGATGATATTGCACAACACAATACAATCTACATTTCAAGATGTCAGACAGTCAGAATTCAGTCTCAGACAACCGGCGTGCGAGTGTCCTCAACACGAAATTATACTAAAAAATGTCTGTATCAATAAGTCAGACCTTTAAATGTATTATTTTTATTTTTAGAGCAAAATAAATAACCTAAACTTGTCTAAATGTTCAGTTTCATCCCTGCATTACGCATCATTAGAAAAATTCGATTCAATTACAACATCGAAGTCAGAGGGTTATTCGTATCGTAATCTACAACGCAGTGCGCGTGCGTGATTGGCTAAGTCGCTATGACGACACACAGTTGCCGTGGCAACCTACAGTGCGCACTGAGCTCTGCGCCTTGTGTGTGAGGGAAGATTATACCAACAAACTATTTCAGGAATTCCATTTTGGGACGGATGAAAGATAAGGAAGAAACAAAAAGTGGTCACGTGTGCAAATGTAGTGGTCGAGACAATAAGGCTATAAACGAGTATTGTCGCGTCGTTGTTCCTTGTTTGTTTACTTTTTCATATTCCCTATCAAACGCCCTTATCTGCTATATCTCTCTCCCCCTCTCTCTCTAGCGATGTACTGATTAAACAGATTGTGGTTGACGACTTTTCTAATTAAGATTCCCTGTGGTTATTTTAGTTCAATCAATCCCATAACCTTTCTATCGTTTATCAAAATAATTAATTAATCTGTTTTGTATTTTATTTCCTTTAAACCAACCCCTATTTACCATCTGTATTTTATAGAATAAAATGTTTGTTTATAAAGTTTGACTGGCCTCACAATTTTGTACCTATTTTATTTTGTATAAAGTAACAGATACTTTGATGATTATATATATATATATATCAATAAGTGCTGCGTGCTGCAATGAATGCTTTTTATTATCAAAATAAGTAATGAATTATACATTTTTGATAATACATGGGTAATTGAATGGGTCAGTCCATGTCAAATCAACACACCTATTTTACCTCACCATCTTAGATTTTGATGAAATTTGGTACAGAGGTTACCTTTATGAAGACTTAAAAAAATATCAAATTTCAACTCAATATCTCAAACGGTTTCCAAAATACGGCCATTTAAAGTTTTAAAAAAAACGGTCAAAATCGAGCTGCGGTAAAACTTCTAAACAGTCATTACTCGTCCACTGTTTAAGTTAGAAACATGGGAAAGGTGTCATTTTTTAGCTCTTTTTATGCCCTTTCTAATGATATACAACACATAATAGGTTATGACAACAACATTTTTTTCAAATTCAAAAATAAATTTTTAAAATAAAATATTTTAAAAAACGCATTTTCGATTATTTTCTAAAAAATATATAAAGTTGTTCATGTTATCAGTAATGTGTACACTAAGTTTGGTTATGGGATTGCAATGGGTTCATGGTTAAAATAATTCAAAACCAACGGTGGTTTGTCTAATTTTAAAACGTTTTTATTTGCTCGCTTTCTTGTCCGGTACAAATTTTGCAATCAATCTTAACCTAACTTCCTGATGAGCTAGTGACTTGAAACATAGGTTACAAATGAATGACAATGCAATATTATATTATTTATTTTTCATATTTTTCTTGGGCCACGCCCCATGGGCTTGTTTTTACAGTATTAGCTCGCTTTTGTGTCCGATAAAAATTTTGCAATCAATTTTAAACAAACTTCCCAATGAGCTAGAGACTTGAAACTTGAAACATAGCTCAAAAATGGATGCCAATGCAATATTATATCATTTAATTTTCATATTTCTCATGGGCTACCCCCATAGGCTTGTTTTCATTAGTTCGCTTTGTCCGGTACAAATTTTGATATCGATTTCAATCTAACTTCCTGATGACCTAGAGACTTAAAAATTGAAACATAGTTTACAAATGGATGAAAATGCAATACTATATCATTTAATTTTCATATATTTCTCTTGGGCTAAGCCCCATGGGCTTCCAAAGTTTCCATGTTTACATTTTGAAAGAATGTAGCCGAAATATATCAATTGAAGTCAGCTGTAAAAACTTAAATTGGACAGTTCGAAGAGCAGATGTTAAGATGTACAGGTTCTGTTCCTGAGATATTCTAAAATATTTAAAACGAGCATTTCAAAATAAAGATGAAACATCTGATTACGGATAGTAAGGTTTTGGTTATGTATTAACAGGCCATATAAAATAGATTTAACATATTTTACACGATAAACTATTTAAAATATTTAACATATTGTCTAACATACACATTTAACATATTTACTCTACGGAAACACTGTGGCACTATTTCAAATCATGACTAATCCAGTATGTTGTGATTATTTGAACCTACAAAACAGTTGCCGGGTAACAGCTGTTTATATTTATTTGTAAACATAGTAGTTCAAAAAGTCTGACATTGGCCCACTTAAAACACTCTGGGGCGGAGCCGTTTTGATGGATCTGCACCAAACTTCACACAAACCATCCTTGAATAATGCTTAATAATGCCTGAAGGTTTCATTACAACCTGTCGAGCGGTTTCTGAGTGCATAAGGTACATACATACTTAGTTCCTCTTTTATAGATATAGGTAGATTACATATAACATGCTTGTAGGTGACTACCAACCAAAATACTTAAAACTAGACAAACCACCGTTGGTTTTGAATTATTTTAACCATGAACCCATTGCAATCCCATAACCAAACTTGGTGTACACATTACTGATGACATGAACAACTTTATATATTTTTTAGAAAATAATCAAAAATGCGTTTTTCAAAATATTTTATTTTAAAAATTTATTTTTGAATTTGAAAAAAATTTTGTTGTCATAACCTATTATGTGTTGTATATCATTAGAAAGGGCATAAAAAGAGCTAAAAAATGACACCTTTCCCATGTTTCTAACTTAAACAGGAGACGAGTTAGGTATGACTGTTTAGAAGTTTTACCGCAGCGCGATTTTGACCGTATTTTGGAAACTGTTTGAGACATTGATCTGAAATTTGGTATTTTTTTAAGTCTCCATAAAGGAAACCTTTGTACCAAATTTCATCAAAATCTAAGATGGCAAGGTAAAAAATATGTTGAAAGTGTGTTGATTTGATATGGACTGACCCAAACCATAATGTCATGTAGTTTCCTATTTTGTAACTTGCAAATAATAATAATTGATAGTTAATTCTGGAAAATTAAAAATAGTGAACGCATTCATAAACCTGTTGTCAAAACAGCAACGCAGGTGTAAGGGTTTATTGTTTCAGAGGCTAGGGTGTTTCAAGGACAAAGTGCTAGGCCTCCCGGCTCAGGGGGGGAGGGGTGGTGGTGAGATTGAGAGAGAAGAGGGGGAGGAAACTGGTTTTTGCTATTTATTGATTAGTTCACCGACCCTTCTAGACAACAAAATTGAGTGACAGTGACAGTGTTAAATCACCATGTTCTGTATTTAATTTTGATAGATATTTTAGTAATGTAACATTTTAATGCAGTAACTCAAGTTTCTTTTTTTAATCACAATCATCATATAAACAATAACAACTGAACAGAACATATGTAAATTAACAAATATAGTATAAGCCAGTACATTTGGAATGGACACATCAATCCTCCCCCTTAAATTTAGAAGGTAACATGTGGTTGATATGCCGCCTCCATATAGATCCATCATCCATTTCAAGAACGTAAATTAACTGTCCATCCTTGCTCTTTACTTTACCAAACATCCACTTGTTTTTCTTGTCTCTGAAATCATAAGCTTGAACTCTTTCCCCCTTTTTAAAGTCTCTTATTCCCTTTGCACATTTAAAGTCACTGTTTGAAGGTGTGTTATTTGTTATCATCAAATCTAGTCTCGTTCTCACATTTCTCTGAAACATTAGGAAGTAAGAATTTGATCCAGTGGAGTTTCTTGATTGTCTCATTTGCATCAAGAATCTCTGTAACTTAATTTCCATATTCCCTCCTTCATCTTTCATGGCTTGTAGACCTTTCTTTATAGTTTGGACAAATCTCTCCGCTTGACCGTTGGAAGAAGGGTGGAATGGAGCACTTGTCTTGTGTAACACACTGTAGTTTTTCAAAAATGTTTCAAAAGTATGTCCACAAAATTGTCTGCCATTATCTGACACTAAAGTAAGTGGAATTCCAAATGTAGAAAACAATCGTCTTAATTGTGTGACACACCAATCAGAAGAAGTATTTTTTGTTTGAAATACCTCGACCCATTTTGTGTAAGCGTCAACGACAATAAAAAAATAATTGTTTCCAAAACAAGGCCCAGCAAAATCTATATGTATTCTTTGCCAGGGACCATCAGGGGTTTGCCATGGATGAGGAGTCGTTTGAGGTGGTTTGTTTTGTTTTAAACAACATTGTTTACAAGTCTTAGCCAGATGTTCAATATCATGATCGATGCCTTGCCAATAGCAGTAGCTTCTCGCTAAAGCCTTCATTTTAACCATTCCCAAGTGACCAAAAT